GAGGTTGCAGGACCGCGTGCTACTGACAATTCAGGGAAACGGCGATGATATTCGACACGGGGGGGGGGCGAAAGACGTAAATTTCATTGTTACCTGTTTATTTCCACTTGTGCCGGTGTTCTATCGAAAGCTCCAACTCAGTCCATCCAAAATGCATATATTAGAGGGAGAGTTATACCATCTGACAGTCTTCTTTTCTCAGGGATTGTAATCTCTGATCTGATTTCCTGGGACTGCCCATTATTATTATTATTATTATTATTATTATTATTATTATACAGGATTTATATAGCGATTGATGGGCTCCCACCATCCCTGTGCTGAGTTCCCGGGTCTGCACACCTGTGCCCATTATGAGGGGCTCCCACCATCCCTGTGCTGAGCCCTTTGGGTCTGTACACCCGCTGTGCCCATTATGAGGAGCTCCCACCATCCCTGTGCTGAGTCCCCGGGTCTGTACACCCGCTGTGCCCATTATGAGGTGCTCCCGCCATCCCTGTGCTGAGTTCCTGGGTCTGTACACCTGCTGTGCCCATTATGAGGAGCTCCCGCCATCCCTGTGCTGAGTTCCCGGGTCTGTACACCCGCTGTGCCCATTATGAGGAGCTCCCGCCATCCCTGTGCTGAGTTCCCGGGTCTGTACACCCGCTGTGCCCATTATGAGATTATGAGGGTCTTCCACCATCCCTGTGCTGAGTTGGGAGTACTGGGAGGAAGATCTTACCACTGGAGCTTCCAAAGCCTATAGGAAGCCAGGGGCTGATTCAGCCCACCAGGCTCCACCCATCGGCAATACCCGATCCATGAAGCTGCCAAATACCAGTTTTGGGTGGACGGACTCTGATGTCTATTGCTCTTATTTTGCATTACTAACGACATTTACAAATGATCAGAACCTGCATATTGATATTTCCTTTTTGTCTCTTTCAGTACGATGTCCGGATTGGATGAATTCTCAGTAAGTCAAATTTTTTGTTTTTTGACAATGAAATGTATACACTCAAGTGAATGGAACAGTGACCCCCCCTCCCCCCCTTACTTTGTATGGCCTGTTCTGTTAGGGTGTTCGAAAGGAGACTGCTTCTGCTCTCCTGTCTTTAGCAACCCTTACAGTGCTCTGGGGATCCTTTGTCGTGTGTGTGTGTATATGTATCTTTTTAATACATTTAAGTGCATATGGATAATAATGGATTCTTCTTAAAATGTACTGGAGGTCATGTGACCATACGAGGGGTCTCAGCCCATCATTCTTCCGGAAACCGGGAGGCATGCTTCCCCTCTGATGCTCAGCAGCTATGGTGTCAGTGAGGTTCCTGCTAGGCGCTTCTGTCAACCAAGGCAAGGAGGGTTGGATGCAGGGGAAGGAAGGGGGGGGGGTGCATTAGGCAGATTGACTACAGGCATCTTGTGCATCTGCACGGCGTCCTGTAGGTCTGAATTGGAGTTGAGGGGTGCAGACAGACCACCCATGGACCTGCCTTGGAGATGGGACAGAATGCTCCAGGAACAAGAGGGGAATGGCAGGATCAATAAATATCACTGATTTCACAATTAGCAACATTGTTTCAATGTCATTACGTGTTTTCTGTTCACATTCTTGAAGGTTGACCCGAAATCCATTACAATTTGCCTTTAAAGCGACTCTGCTATATTTTGGGTAGCTTCCCCGGTGAGAAACGCATGGTAAAGAAAATCTGGCAGAGGTTTGAACACCTCTCTACTCTACTCCACCCACTACTAGAAATATAATTTGGTTAGAGTTTCACTCTTATAAGAAATGTATGGGATTTGGACGGATGCAGCCTAATTCTCTCTTTTTCTATCTCGCCCATAGTTGGCAGATGCCTTGCCAGATAAAGGTCCTGCCAAAACGCAGACCGTAAGCAACCCTAGAGACAATCAGCAACCTGGAGCCTGGCCTGGATCCAATGCTTGGGGTTCCACCCCTGGAGCTCCGTCTGCCCCAGGCACTGCCCCTTATGGACAAGGCCAAGGAGGACCATATTCTGGAGGTGGAGCTCAGCCTAGTGCCCCACCACACGCGTACCCATCTGGACCCCAGCCGGGAGCGCCAAGTGCCCCATCTGCACCTACCGGTCCCTATCCAGGAGCAGCACCTGGGCAGCAGCCATCTCAACCAAATGTGCCATATTCCTACCCAGGGGCCCCCGGTGGACAGCAACCAAATGTGCCATATTCTACAGGACCCTATCCAGGAGCCCCTGCTGGACAGCAGCCTGCACCAAATGCTCCATACCCTTCAGCACCCTACCCAGGGGCTCCAGCTGGGCCAGACCCGAAAGCAGCGAATGCTCCTTATCCAGGAGCTCCTTCTGGCCCTTATCCTGGAGCCCCATCTGGCCCATATGCAGGAGCTCCTTCTGGCCCACAACAACCAGGAGCCCCATCTGGTTCATATCCAGGAGCTCCTTCCGGCCCACAACAACCAGGAGCCCCATCTGGTTCATATCCAGGAGCCCCATCTGGTTCATATCCAGGAGCTCCTTCTGGCCCACAACAACCAGGAGCCCCATCTGGCCAACCAGGAGCACCTGGGCAATATCCCTATCCTTCAGGGCCAATGGGACCTGGTGGCATGCCAGGGTCATATCCTAACCCTTCTGGTCAATCATATCCGGCTCCATCTGGCCCTTATGGTCAGTCTGCTCCTACAGGTCCTTCACCTGGTGGGCCAGGGTGGGCTTGGGGATCCCAGGGTGGGCAGTTCCCCTCACAGCCTAATTTGCCATATCCAGCTACTCCTCCATTCCCAGTTCCTGGTGCTAATGCTTCATCTTCCGGAGCCTGGGGCTCGGTGCCGTCCGGTCAGTGGGGACCATCGGCATCATTTCCTGGAGCTCCTGGATCATACCCAAATCAAGGCTATCCCTGAAGTTGCCGGATTCCAGGGGTCCTGTTCTGGGAGCCTTTCAGCTAGCTTGTGAGTATACTTCCTGTTCATTCTTCATATTCTATGTCTGGATTTATACTGTGGGGCTCATTTAGAGTGTTAGATTTTGTGCTGAGTGTTGAGATCGGTGGAATAGTAAACGGGGCAGAGCACATGGTTCTTTTAAAAAAAACCTTTGGGTAGAGTAGTGAGGGGTTGGATCCCCTGTCAGGGTGTCCCATGGGTAGAGTCACCCTGTCTTGTCCTGGTGACCATGGTCACTGGGTCTAAAAGTGATCTGTAAGTTTGAGTTGTCACCAGAACAGGAACAGAAGTCTTCCAATGGTAACATTGTCTAAAAAGGAGATTTCCCCTCACATTGGGGAGATTCGCTCATCCCTACTGCTAGCCATTGCCACAAAAAGCGGAAGTTATGGGAATGGTTACTGTTGTCCCTCAAACAAGAATAGAGGGGAAATCTTTCAATGGGGACACTTGGGCCTTGACAACCATGAGAGTATTTTTCTAACTTTGGAGAAATATATTGATATTTCCTGTCGGGTTCACAGGACCAGAATAGAGGGAAAATATCCTGAATGGGACACAGGGAATAAAATACTTTTGGGGGTTTTAAACCTTTTCTACTCTATCCATAATGGGGGGGTGGGGGAGAAAGTTGAAGTCTTGCACAGTTGTAGCGGCTCCTCTCCTGGACTGGCATTGCTTCCTCTGATCGCACTGCACACTGCGAGCTTCTCTCAATGTACATTAGAAGCTACAGCCAATCGGAGCCCGCCTCATTTCCTGGCTGGAGGAGGTCCAGCACCATCTAGCGCGTTCCTCCCCAGCCTGACTGTCCCTGGCCCCGCCCCCTGGATTTTATTTATTATAATCATGGCAGGGGCGTAACTACAGAACATGGGGCCCCATAGCAAAATTTGAATAGGGCCCCATGGCGAACAACTTACAATCTAAATCAAGGACAGGTAGCAGTAAAACTGTCTGCAGAGTCTCTTCCTGTACATCTGATATCCAGTCTTCTTGATTTGGAAATGCCATAAGGGGTATACAGCAGTGTTCTTCCTTCCACCCCCAGGCCCCATAGCAGCTGCTATGGCTATTGTTACGCCCCTGCATGGAGCCTTGGCATCACAAGTGGGCATTTCCTAGGGCGGCCTACCTGCACGGGAAGACAAAATAAAAGCATATTAATTTTCAGATAAAAAAAATAAAAATAATAATTATTTATCAATTAGTTAGAAAAAAAAACCCCTCCAAAGAACTGAAACCAAAGGAACCTCTTATTGTGCTTTGAGTCCTCCTTTTGTCTCCGGTTGCATACGGTGATCAGCAGTCCTGTGACGCTTCATACAGAGGATTTTGGGCGCTGATATATGGTGTTCTGTTTTTCAGATCGCACCCTATTGAAGAACTACTCCTTGAAGATTTGCCTATTGAACTGTATACAAGAAGATAACGGGACAACAAACTGGGTGACGGCCAAATGCGGCCATCTTTAATATTCCGCCACGTTGACAATAATGACCTATCGATTTTTCGGAGACACGAGTGCTGATTGCTGCATTGGAACGCGAGGCCGGATTTTTCTCCTTCGAAGACACTAAATTGAATTAAACGTCCCTTTTCTGCAATAATGCACCCACATTGCTTTATTTTTTTTGGGGGTGGGGGGGAACCCAGCCCTCCCCTCCTCCTGTAACATTTATCTGGCCATTAAAGGGTTCACTTTCCATAAAAGGAAATGATTATTGAGGGGGGAGGGGTTATGTATTGAAAATACGATGCCGCCCTTTATCTGAAATAAACGGTCTGTGTTGCTCCCCCAGCTGAGATAATTAGGTTGGTCACTAGTGACAAGTCAAGCCAACACCTCGGTGGGTTGCTGTGGCGGGATCTAAGCATTTGATTGTTGCGATACTTTGCTATGTGGTGGCTTGCATGGATATTTGTATCTTTCTGGTTCTTCGGAACCGGAAAGGAATCCGGTACCAAGGTAGATATGTAGACTGACTTCTATTTTCTGAAAATTCTAGTTATCTGGTTGTCATGTTGATACTCTGACTTCAGTGCAGTCCTGCCCACACACCTGAGCTTGAAGATGGTTCTGTGCTCCGAATGAGTGACTCGGGGCAGGAGCTCAGCAGTAGAAGCCTCTGTGTACACGTCCTCCTTCAATGTCAGCCGGCCCGGAGTGAAAAATCAGCAAAATAGCCTTCTAATGTTCTAGGAGACCCCAGCTAATGTCTGCCAACTTCAACAGGGGGCGCAATGCGTTTCTTGACTTTTCTGAAAGTCGAGCAGAGCCACACCCATCCCATCTTGCAATGCAGTGTGAGTAATCAAGAGATCCTGCAGTCCTCGGACCTGACTTTTGTTGTTGTTGAATGGACCCAGAAGCTGTATGCTAAGATGTGACGTCTTGCAAAGCGTCAGGGACCTTCCTGGAGATACCCAGAGGCCTTTGCAGGTACTGTGTGGTGTGTTCCATCCCCCGATGGTCAGGGTTTTCTTTTACTTGTACACCTTCAGAACAATTTAGCTGCTGCCTGAGCGGGGGCAAAGGGGCCGGGCGGGTGCCCTTTGCTGTTGTTATTTTCTTGATATCCATCAAGCATTCCTTTTTTTTTGCAGGTGGTGCAATCTCTCAAAGCCGGACTGTGACACCTTACTTACCACCAGTCCGGCTGTGCCATAGTCGTGCTTTGTACTTTTGCACTGCTTGCAATAAAGCTTATTGCATATCCAAAAATATAACAGCGAAAAGTGCAGCCAGTTTGATCCAGTCTGAGCGTGGGAGGAGGAGACTTGGAGACCTGACTAAATGCTTCTTCCTGGCTGCAGCAGACTGATGACATCATCACAGCTCGTATATGGGGGGTCATGATTATCTGAGTCTCTTCCTAAGTGCCAACGTCCCGTCCGTTACGTAGATGAAGCTCTCGTTCTAAATTAGAAGTGGTCAAAAATATCAAGAGTCGATGTTCTAGGCTGGGGTGGGGGGTTGGAAGTTATACAAATGCCTAAAATACATTGTTGCGGCTAAAGGGGGCAATGGCAGCTTCCAAAGCCCAAGGGTGCACTTACTTTTTCCACGGCACACTATTACCGTACAGGATTTATATAGCGCCAACAGTCTGCGCAGCGCTTTACAATATAAGGAAGACATTACAATACAAATCAAGACACGTTGGTAAGGAGGGCCCTGCCCCGGAGGGCTTACAATGTAGAAGGGATCATCTATGGACATTTTTGGTAAATCAGAGGTAAGAGACGTTCCTCTGCTGTTGGTGTTCCGGTAGATCCGCCTTTATCTGGTGACCGTCTGAACAAAGATGGAAGATTTGCCTGTTCAAATCTGTCGAAAAAGTCAACAATTTCCATGAGGTGTACTTACTTTTTCATGTGACTGTACATAGGAAGCTGCCAGCACTAAACCTTCGAGGCTTTTGAGCAGCGATGCGTTCGAACAGAACGCCCGTCGTGCAAGCACTATTTTGTTCGGCATAATGTGCCATGCGATCCCGTGCGGCCGATCGCATTGCGGCCGGAGGGCGTGGCTACGGTGCCATTCACTTCAATGGACCCCACGCCCCCTCCAGCCCCACAACATAGTGAGCCCCCCACAACATAGTGAGCCGGCCACAACGCGATGCAGTGCGTTCTGGCCAGAATTGGGCCGCAACGCACTGTGTCTGGTGTGAACGAGGCCGTATAGTGTATCCGAACCCGAGAACAAAAATGTAACATGTTGCAGCCTACCGCTCTTACGATGTGGTGGTTGCATTCGTTTTCACCCAGTAACGCACTTCCAATGCTCAGTCGCTGCAAAGTATCTTTGGAGGAGCAACGTTGTCACCCTAGGACAGGGCAACAGAATCCTTTCCCCTGTAACAAGAGGGAGGGGTTCTGTAGTCTGCAGAAGAGACCTGTGCAGGGCTGAGATTTTAGTGCAGCAAAGGCAGAGTGGACAGGAATTTAGGAGCTCGCTTGAGTTCTGGCAGGATCAACAGCCATCTTGCTGTAGCTGGGTGGTTTTTAAGCAACAAACCATGGGGGAAAAGTGCATTTTTTGGAGATATGTTCTGAATATATATATATATATATATATATGTGTGGGTGAGTGAGTGTGTGAGTGATTATATATTTCAGCTCAGAGGACACTTTGCACGTCTCTTTTCATGATTTGGGGCCTGTTCATACCAGTAGGTGCGTGTCATGATACTTATAACATGCATGTGATGCACTGTAGCAATTCTTTGCGGTGTATGTTTTTTTTTTCCAAACACAAAACTTTATTGAAAGTTAACAAAAAAAACAAGTCAAATCTATGAACAACGGCGTGTTGTGACGCACTCTTTTATGCAATGCACGTCACTCTTGTATGATGTGGACAGGGTGCATAGAGAACAATTGTAATCTCAGTGTCCTTGCATTGATCCTACATTGATCAACCCAGCACAACGCACCGGCTGTGAACCGGCCCCAACTTGAACGAGTCTGATAAGACTGTTACTGCTTAACAAATGTAATAAAAACGTGCCAAGTTTATTGATGCTCCTCCCATAATCTCTGCAAAACCAGCCCAAGATACCCCCCAAACGGGACAAATGTAGGCACCTCCCACTGTGCATGAAATCATACCCAGATCTGCCCCATTCATCGTAAAGCGTCGCTGAAGCCACACCCACTCTCCGGTAACCTGGGCATTTTAATGGGCATGATAAAAAAAAAATGGGAGTGTCCCATCAGAACAGGAGCAGCCGGATGACTTACCAAAGATCTCTCCCGTGATGATCTCTCTCCCACTTCTATACTGGTTAACAGTTATAAAATCGCCAAAAAGTTTCCCCTCAACAGGTGTCCAGCTGGAGGCGGGTTCACATATATCTCCATAGCAATGGGGGGGCGGAGTGAGGTTTACACTTTATGATTGGTCTGCAGTACATGGTAATCCCCGTCTCCAGGCAACAGGAAATGAGGAGTTGTGTCTGGAGTGGGACTTGAAGGTATTTGGGTGGAGATTGCTTTGCGTTATTATATTCTGTATTTTATTCCTGGTCATAGAGACGTCGGCTTTTTCTGGCTTATAAGCACCGTGTTTATATATGGTATTGAATAAAGATTGGTTTGCCTATAAATGACATTGCCGCAGTTTAATTGTAACTTTTGTATCCGTCACCAAGTGCAAAACGGGCAGAAATATATATAATTAAAGGGCCGCCATTAGAAATCTTGGGGCCCCATACAGCCAACATGGCCAGTGGCATGCTGCACAGGGATCACTGAGCCAGTCACATTTGTTGGCACCGGCTGTAGGGGGACTACAAATCCCAGCAATGCATTATACAGTAATGCAGAACAGTATACGAATTGGACTCAGGACTTAGTAACGTGCTGGACTCAAGACCCACCTGAGAGTGACCCTGCCGAGCACACCATACATGCTGCACAGCCCATCTGAGACTCTATGGTGGGCTCTGCAGGGGCTCAAGTGGGCCGGTCAGGGTCCCAGTCCCTGCACCTCTTACCTGTCGCTGCTGGGGACCAGCCGCCTCCACCTCCTCCCTCTGCCATGCCGCCCCTTGTGTGGCTGATACCCATGTAAAAAAAGAAGAAAGTCCATGGTCCCATCGCACTCCTGACCGCAAAAAATCCCTCAGAGACGTGGGTGCTGCGGTAGTCAACGGGTGGCAGCCGTAACAATCATGAGCAGAAACGGAGACACCGGCACTCCAAATTGGCAAGCAAACGTCTAATAATTGACGTGCAGCATAGCAGAAAATAGCAACGAACGTTTCGGGGTCACAAAGGATCCCCTTCATCGGGCTTTGCCTATAAATGACTTTGCCTGATGAAGGGGATCCTTTGTGACCCCGAAACGTTCGTTGCTATTTTCTGCTATGCTGCACGTCAATTAATAGACGTTTGCTTGCCAATTTGGAGTGCTGATACCCATGTAAGGTCCCCAGGCTCCTCACATGAATTTCTGCTGTATCCCCTGATGGCGGCCCTGAAGGTGTAAATTCAAACAGTGAACTTCTCTTGTTTGCTCCCTTTGGGCTGTGAAATATACTATTGAAAATGTTTTGTTATATCTGTTTAATAAGTGCAAAATTTAGAGTGCAGGGTCTCCGGTGGGCTGGTCCGGGTCCCTTTGCACCAGAGGTGCTCGCCCAAATGCACCGATACCGGAACTTCCGGTCAGAGGGAGTTTTGGGAGGGAACGTGGAGATTCGGTCAGAGGGAACATGAAGCCGGCTTTCAGGCCAATCAGGAACCTGTGCGGAGTACATTGCCCGGTTACCTGATTGGCCAGGAAGCCAGCACCATGCTGTTTGGCCAGCTCCCTACCAATTGGCTGGGAAGCCGGCTTCCTGGCCAATCAGCATGGAGCCGGCCAAACAGCATGGAGCCAGTTTCCCATGCAATCACGAAGCTGGGCGGCGGGTAACCTGACTGGCTGGGAAGCTGCATCCATGCTAGCGGAAGTACTGGTTTCAGTGAGTACTGAAGGATAAATATCGGTACTTGATACTGAAAAACCAGTTTCGGTGCATCACTAATCTATACCAAACCCCAATCTGGGATAAGCGTCCGAAATGAATTTCAGAGGGGCCAGGCATCTTTCTTTTTTACATTTTAACACTGAGGTGCCCCTAGATTTTGGATACTTTTAAAGGGGTGCCGTGACTGGAAACATGTAGAGAGACTCTGTCCTAAATACTCTGAGCTAAAAGGAGTCTCTCTCATCTCATAAGGCTGGAAGGTATACCTTTAATTGTATCAAGACTGTCTAGAGGTCCCCACACACCTTACAATAATCGCGGGAAATCCCGCGATTATCGTAAGGTGTGTGGAAGCCGTGCGACCTCTACTAGTGTTAACAGCCGCACGGGCCGGTGTGCGCAAGCGCACACTGCCCGTTCGGCATTGCGGTCATCGGAAGCCCGTCCCTCAGGGGGCGTGGCTTGCGATCATCGCAAGTACGATCTGCCTATGCAAGATGGGCAGATCGTACAATTTTTTAAGTACCTTACAACCATGGCAAGACAAAAGTCTTGCCATGGTTGTAAGGAGTGCGCCCAGCCTTAGGTTGAGCTTTCGTTAAGTCGTGGGGCCAGTTTAGCGAGCTCATTGTACTGAGATATGTAAATGAAAGTGTATGGAAAGCTTATCAATCCTCTTCTCTTATTTGCTGCCTTTTGGTCTGGTAAATATACCATTGTGTGCCTTCCCCTTAAGCTTAAAATGAAGCGTTTACCACTCATATCTCTCTATGTCTACATTGTAAATGTTATGATTAGGAAATCTCTAGATCCTCCTAAATCTGGTCTGATTACTTATTGATATCTCTTTTGATTGGGCCATAGAGCAGTGGGGCTACCCCAGCCCTGCAAGGGTTAACTGCCCTTTTTGGTCTGGGGGGATAAAATAAAGAAGAAATAATCACCCGATCTGGAGCTCCTAGTGGGCAGATAGCCCTTCACTTCCTGCCAGGGTGTCACCAACAGGAAAGAATCTCCCAACGAGGCTGCTGACGAGACATCCGCCTCCCCCCAGCCGTGAAAAGTTTTGGGCTGCGGCATTTTTGTGTTTCGAAAATAGAAAAAAAGAGGAAAATAAAAGACGAGGCAGACTCGTTCTATACAAGCCGTTTATTGGAAAAGCCATCTATATGTAGGATAAAGTTCGTGTTACATGCTTGTCAGTAACTGTAGAAAAATAGAACTGCGGTGAAAACCTCTGTACAACAGCAATGGTATCCGTAAAAGAGAGAGAGAGAGGGGGGGAGAGAGAGGGGCGGGAGA